TACAGACTGATTTTACTGTTGAGGGTTTAGTAACACTTTAAGGCTATCATCGTTTTCTCTACAAAGAGACTGGTGATTTAGTGAATTAATGGTTTATGGACGAGCAGGATCACTAAATAGCACATGGTGCTGTATACTTCACTCTCATACTCTCACCCTCTCATTTTTCATAACAGGGAAGGTCCAGGGCTTCTATCCTCTATTTCCAATGGGCAATTGAAGGTGACCAAACATGGCTCATTTTTTTTTTAGTTCATCCAGTAGACTGAATGAAAAAAAAAAAAAAAACTGAACCAATTCCCCCATCCACACATTCAAGATGGATGGAGGAATCCCCCCCCCCCCCCCCCCCCACACACACACACACTGTTTCTTTGTATTCTGACAATGGGACTCCTTCACTGCCAGAAAACACTGATCAGCACTGCAGCCTATTGGCTGCATGCCCTGATTAGAGCAAAATTTCCAACGACATCTCATGAACAGGAATGGCCATAGATGGATCAAAATTTGTCCAGCCCCTACTGAACCAGCCGAACTTCGATCCATCTACGACCAGCTTAAACAAACAGAATTTATACTTTGGTACCCAGAGCTGCGGTCATCTTCCTTTTGTTTTGCAGGTCATTAGCGATCAGTGTCTATCCTAACAGCTGTCTCTGTGCATTCAAGAAGGATATTATCTTCTGAACATAAAATTGAACATAGCAATGGTAGTATTAGTGATTGTATTGACACACACCAATACTAAGTCCGCAAATGCACATGCAAGATGAGCTGTATTAGGGCTCATGTACACTGCAGCTGCTAAACTGATGTTCAGGAGCTGTTCAGCGTTTTTTTCAGCAGCCCTTGAACTCTCCCTAATATTTTCCTATATATCCATGTACACATTGGCGTTTACAGGCAGTTGAGTTTACAGTCGTTTTTTTTTAACACACCAAACTTGCATTCAGGAGTAGATTTTAGCAGCGTTTCAAACGCCAAATGCTTGTAAGCATGTAAACGCTTGTAAAAGCGGTTAACTGCATTTGCGTTTAGAAGCGTTTTTTAACTGTTCCATATCCAGAGTCTTTTTTTCCTCATCGGAAATGCATGAAAAGTGTTTTCCATGTATTCAAATGGACCTAGTACACCAGTGCATTCAGTTCCAGGTTTCGCGTGATGGAAAAAATGGTAGAACGTGCTGCATTATGCTCATGATGGGATCCATAGTGAATACAACCAGAAAAGACAGGTAATCTCTCTACGTCTGCTCTCTTTATTTCTCTCAAAATGTCTGAAATAGTTCATTTTTTTTACTGTTTTCAGTGCATTCGGGAAGGTCTCCTGAGGTTATCTTTAAAAAATTATTCTAAACGCAAATGCACATAAACGCGGTATGCAAACGCGGCTAAACAGACATTTTTAAACTACGTTTTCCAAAAGTCAGTTTTCATCCTTCACAAGAGTATTCCAAACGCCCTGAGAACATGAACCCTTAGAAACCCTGCTTTACACTTGTCAACCTGTGTGTAAAAATCTCTGAGTTGCAGGCTAGAGGCTGTATTGATCAGAAGACCCAATCTGCTCTGCCTTTTTAGGCCCCTTTCACACAGGCTGGATCTGGTTGTCGTCAGCAGGGGATCTGTCCGATGAACCCCTACTAAGCTAAGCAGAGCAGCCGAATGACAGGCCCGTATCTGATACACTTATGCAGAACGGACACAGACACAACCCTCTCTGCTCGATGGGCAGTCAGATATAAACAGAATGGCTGTCCGTTTACACCCGATTGCCCTCCAATCTGGCCAGAAGCAGGGGAATGGATCCCCTTCCGTTTGTTTTTGCCAGATCAGATTGGAGGTAGGCGGGTGTAAATGGACACATCTCCGTTGACATCCGCCGGTCCATAGAGGAGAATGGAGCTTCAGATCAGGCCCGCCTGAAAATAGACAGACGGACCTGATCGAACTGCTTGCGTGAAAGGGGCCTTATGTCTTCTGATGTGCTGACCCACTTTGCATATAAAATGCATCCTGTGCAGTCTGCAGACACATAGTCCACTGCTCAAATTTTGTTATGTGTTCATTTTCCAATTAAACGCTGGTAAATGCTAATTCTACAAAGACACTCCTTGGAATTTGTATTCATGGACACTTGCACAGCTTAAATTAGCTATAATGTAGCTTAATTTGAACCATGAATGAAAATTTAAAGCTGGGTGTGTTGGTGTTTTCAGAAATAGTTTCTTACATATGCTAAACTGAGTAAAGCTGTATAGTTATTACTCAGGCAAACCTAGTAAAACGTCTGCCTAATATATGCTGGGTATTCAGAACATACAATTATGATATTAGGTGTTAGGCATTTAGCAGTAATGTCAAAGCTTGTAAAGCAGTGTATTGTGCTCTGTGCATGTAGTGTTTTCACTGGATCTTTTTATAAAGAGGAATTGTAGTTTATTGTCTGTATTCTGTGTGTTAATGTCACTTTTTACAGGAGCTATAAATTAAACTTCCTGACATGAGAAACAATCCAGCACACGCTCAGTTCAATGAGAAACTGAAAAAGCTAAAGCTTATATTTACTTGAATTATTGCCTCTTCCAACAGCTCAAAGTGCCATAATATCCCCAGACACCTCATTAAAATCTATAGGCACTGCAAACACGTTTGTGAACTAGAAAAAACGCTTACAAGAGCAGAATAAATCTCAATCACCATAAATTAAACATCTACATTTGATTTTATAAGATAACCTAAAATCAAACCAAGTTTTTTGTTTGTTTTTGAATTGTAGTTTTTTTACATTTGGAAAGCATTTGCAAAAAATGAAAAATGCTTGCAGTTACAAGTACTCATTGGTGCAAGCTATGTGACCAATGAGAAGCGCACCTGAGGATTATTCTGAGTAGGTGTCCCAGAAGAAGGAAGCCTTTCTCATTGGTCAATGCAGTCATGTGGCTCACTTTGGGGCTGTGTATTGCAGCATATGGTATAAGCCCCGGTTAACACCTCCTACTACCTGAATGCCTTGGTTTTTTGCTAGTGTCTTAGGAAGATGGACATCTTTTGTTTAGCTCTCTTGCTTCAAAGACTAACCTATAATAGTACTGGCACCTTTGTTTCTACACTTCTTTTTTCCCCAAACAAGACTCCTATTCAAAACGCTGTATGAGTTTTCTCCTTTGATTTGCAGAAATCAAGAGCAGTCCCCCTCAGCCTGACCTTGGACTGTACCACCTCCAAACCCCAATGGACTGGATGGAGTCCAAGTTAGTTGCGGAGGACTTCCCAGGTCCAGAAGAGCTGCTTACATGCCTCTGCACTTGCCCTTTCTGTAATGACTCAGTTTGTAGGTCAATCAGTCGTGCTCCCACAGCTTCTTCATCTTTATAGTCACTGGGTCCCATTATTCACCATTTCCCATCAGCGATGTCACAGAAGGGGTTAATGTTGTGGGACTAAGTATGGATGTCAGTCGCTGGGTGGAGGGTCGCACACATGCACTCCCTTTCCTGTTATACAGTGTAAGGATGCTTCTCCCCGCTGCTGCTCCTGCTTACAAAGAGCCACACAGAACTTTGATCCTTTCCTGATACAGTGAATGCCTACTTCCACACATCCAATCCGTTGGTCACTGACCTTACAATTGCTACCAGTTGTTACGAGTATTTGAAACCATGCCTAACGTTGCCAAACCATGTTGCGGGCGAAGATCATTCTACTGTTCCAGATGCCCCAAAATCAGTTTCTACTAATGCCTTAGGGGCTAATTGCACCCACCACACCTACTAATAATACCAGGGTATGCAGCCTCACGCTGTACTCTGTTGCTAGAGTTCCTTTCCTCTTCAGAGTGCTTGTTGGCTCTGTTGGTTTTACTGGGTCATTTGCCCTTTTAACAGAGGTCTTTTCCATAGGCATGCTGGACTGTATGCCCCATATTACAGATGTATTTATAGAATCTGATCACAAAAAGGTCACAGACGCACTCTCATGCCATCTTTAGCATATTCTCTATCCAATCTACACAAGGCCTTTACAGCTTCTGAGCCATTGGACCCAGAGACGGATTCTGAGTAGCTTAATTCCTGGACTGATGAGCTTACCCCCCAAGGAGTTGCAATTTACTCCTTTTGCTCCCAAGTTTAAGGTGGTTGTTTTGGCTCCTATTAACGCAGTGTGCACCACTGAAGTTAAGGGATCAACCTGTTGCTTCTACCAGTGCTTTTTTCAGTTGTGGGTCATTCAGAACTTCAAAGGCACTCGCTTGTTGAACTTTTTCTCTATTGAGATTGATAAGTCGTTTGCTCTCACTACATGATTTTATCTATTTTGGCAGGATTTTGTTCAGAAATGGTCCGTTCGCACGCTGGACCTAGCCATATCCTGCCCTAAAAGGGTGCCTACCATACCTGTGGAGGATGCACCTGCCTTTAAGAACCAAAATGATAAGGTCTTCCAAAATGGAAGGCCTTTCAACAGCTCTGTTCTCACTGACAGGTTCTGCTCTGTACCCAATTCTGACTGACTTTACGTTGTCAGACTTTGTATGACTGGCCAAAATCCCTTAAAAAGTCTCTTACCACCAATATCCTTTCAAAAGGTTCTCATCACCAATGGGGTTGATCCCTTGCTTCATGCTTAGATGGCTGTAGTGTTAAAATCAGCAGCACATTTCTCACATATGTCTTTTGTCGGTGCCTAGATGTCTAGCAACAGTCTGCAGAGCTCTCTTACAAGAAGTGTCTGATCTACATGGCTTTCTGATTATTAAAAGGTAGATTTACAGTGCAATCCATTATAATACAAGTTCCATAAATAAATAAAAAAAAACAAAAAAAAAAAAAACACACAAATATTTAATCCATGTAACTGAAATGCTATTGTGAAACTTTGTGATTAATGTGGCATTGAGAACAAAGGCCAACTTGCTTAAGCTAAATGTACTAATGATTTTGCCATGGAACCCAGACAAAGCTTGACACCTAGTTGTTGAAAACTGACAGCACTTACCTAAATCAATAAGTATTGCATGTTGCTGTGTGGTCAGTTGCTTCAGCAGTTCTTTGTAGGGAATATCTTTTAACTGGCTTTTATGGGGGACTTGGTGTCTCAGTTGATACTGCTCTGCTGAAAACTTCCATATTTCTCCACGGTGAGGTCTAGGTACTCCTATAAAAACACATTTACTAAAAATAGCTCATTCCAACACCAATATACAATTTACTATCATTTAACTAATCTTGCACATTATACTAAAGCTGGCCATAGATGGACAGATTTTTCAACCAAACATCTGAATGTCGTTCGAAAGATTTGGTTTGCTTTTAACAGTTAATTTTGGAATGAATGGACCTTACCGAGTGAAAACCACATACACGGTTAGAAATTCATCTGAGAAACATTTTCCATCCTGCTCCTTCAAATTTTCTCATCACTGTGGTCTAAAACAAATATCAATTTGGCCCACTAGTGATTAGAAAAATGAACAAACTTTCTTAGGCTATGTACTCTTCCTAAGGATTTTCATTTGAAATTCTACCCATCTATAGCCAGCCAGACCTTTGCTTCAATTCTATATAAAACTTGTACTGGTCATGCAAACAGAAACAATTAGCAGTAAAAGATATAACCAAGGTAAGATGCAGCCTCAGACAAAACTCGTATGAAAAGACATAGTTATCAGGCTAAAAAATGTACATGAAAAGATAGCATATATATGGATTTGCAATTGCATAAATTATAAATAGATTATAAAAAGAGACTGGTACAATATCAAAAAGGACCACTGTTAGGGAGGCCATGCAAGATTCATTTGTGAGCCAATTCCCCCATCCACACATTTGATGTGGATGGGGGGAATCCTCCAGCGTTTTACTGTATTCTGCCAGTGGAAAGCCTTTCTCGTCAGCAAAATACAGCGATCAGTGTTACCAGCGGCTTTAGCCGGTAGCACTGATTGTTTGGGGAAAACCCAACAGGCTGACTGTACAAAAGTGGATTGATAGATTGTGTGCAATCAGCTAGCCCATACATTGATCGAAATTAGTCAGATCCCTGCTGACCTGGCCTCATTTTGATCCATGTATGGTCAGCTTTAAAAAGATTGAAGCCAAGTGTGTTGGTTCAATGCATAAACAAGCACGCTAGGATACAACAATCTTTGTTCTTAAAAAGATCTTATCAGAAACATTTCCATAAAAAAAAAAAAATATTTGCAAGGACCTATTGGCAGCCACATCTTAAAATACTATTTCCTGTCTGTGAGTATTTTAAAGGATAAGTTCACTTTTTAACAAAAAATTATAAATGCACATTTTTTTTTGCAGGTAAAAAAATGTGCATTTATTATTTTTTGTTTGTGGGGTCTCTTAAGCATTGCACCAGCGATCATCAGATTGCTGATGCCATACAGGTCTCCCCCTGACCTGTCAGTATATCTGCTTGCTCATACATCCTGTACAGGCAAGCAGATACTTACTGATAAGAAAGCTCAATGAACTACCACGGAGCTGTCATTGAAAAACTACAAGCTGACAGGCACAAAGGTTGTCGGAACTTGTAGTTTTCCCATTCACAGAATACAGGGTTTTTTTTAAAATTTTGACAGCTAGCGGGGAGGAGAAGATCTCCCGCTAGCTGTAACAATGGGGATTGGGGGGCGGTCTGATCGTAACATGCTACACGTTTCTCCCTGATTATGGCTGTAACATGTTATGAAAGGTGAATTTATCCTTTAAAATGTTTAGCATTGCTTTGCTGTGCAATGGTCCTCGATATATTTTCTACTGCTCTCTGGATGGAGTCTGTGCAATCTCCCAATTACTACACAAGTTTCCTCAGGGTACCATGGTTTTCTTTCAAAAATCAAATGTCAAATTCTGCAGAGCTTCATTCCAATATTCATACAGATGTCAACACTGTCTATAATAAAAATAGAACTCGATGGGAAAATATGATCTGTTGACAGTGCATTGCAGATGTGTCAGATTCCTTTTACAAGGACAAGAGTTAAAATGTGATAAAAAGTAAGCCTTCCACACTACACAGAGATTTTCAAAAGATGGGATTACCTTGTCCAATAGCAGCATGAATTTTTTCCATATCAGCCTTTATTTTTGCTCTTCCAGGTGTGCTGAGCATCTTCTCCCACACAAGAGTCACATCTTTTAGACAAGGAGTGATCTCTTCATAATCAAGCTTCAGCCGTTTATTTTGTAAGTCATTTTCAGATGCTATATGGAAGAACCAAAAATATCATTACATGCAATATTTTCAAGGGGCTTACCTTTTCAAACTAACAGAATCTACGCTGATGACTTGAAACTTTCACTACTTAGCAATTCCTAACCTTGCACTGAAAAGAGGAAAAAAAAAGTTACAAGAGTTATCAGCACTTTTGCATTAGCCAAGAAATGCAGGAACATCCAGCATCCAGGCCACCATAAAAAGGGGAAAACTATAACAGGAAAATAAGACACTGGAAACATCTAACCACTATTCATGTGCAGACTCTTTAGTTTGTAACAACTATTTGTCTTTTTAAACTGCATTTTTTGTGTTTTCCCCTGAAAGCAGGGCAGTCCCGACCTTAAAGACTTGTGTACAGTTATTAATTTAATAAATTCTACCTGACTCACAGAAAAAAATAGTTTGGATTGATGACTCATCTAGGGCAGGCAATAGATGGGTCAGTTTTTTTGTTCAAATTGAAAGAAGAAAAAAAAAGACCAGATTCTCCCATCCACACATTTGATGTGGATAGGGGAATCCTCCCTGCTGTGACTTTGTATTCTGACCATAGGTAGACCCCCCCTCCCCCGCTGTCAAAATACACAGATTAACATTGCAGGCCATAGCCTGCAATGCTAATTGTGTGGGGAAAATCCAACAGGATAATTATACAGAAGTCGATAGATAGTTTGACTTCTGTAAAACCCTAGGGGCCATACATGGATTGAAATTGATTTGGTCCCTTATGAACCGGTCGAATGTTGATCCCTGTATGGCCGCCTTAAGCCCTATAGAGGAGAAAAAAAACAATTTTGAAGTAACTGGACGGAGTGGGAATAGGGTTATCACTTTCTGTGTTGCTGTTGGGGAGATTCATGCTCTCCATTTATCCCGGTAGACTTTGTAGGAAAGTGATACAAAATTAAAATGTTACAATTGCCTCCCAAACAAAAGCAGAGGGGACATTTCTCAGTGTTAGCATTTGCTCCATTGACAGCTGTCAACAGTGGTAACTTTTGGTACATTTCCTCTAACTTCCTGTTGTGTCTGTAGAGATAAGGGGAAATCTCTAAACTGTAACACAGACAATAAAATACTGACTGAAGTTTAAACCTATCCACACTCCATCAAAAATAAACAAAAACTGTGGTTGGAGTTTTTTTTTTATTTACATATGAAATCATACAAGAGAAAAAAAAACAAACAAAGCTCAATAGGTTTTGTCAAATATAATGCAGACAAGAATGTCCACCATCTCCTTCGGGGGTAAATCAAACATTTTACATTTAATCTTCAATGTTCTACAAGGCAACACAAACATCTTAATAAGAGTTACAGATCAGATTACATTGTTGGCCACTACAAAACTATAAAGAGCAGCTAACACATATGCTACATCAAGGCCTTTTTGTCCTTTTATCAGTTTATAATCTGCTCCTAAAGAGTTTTCCTGCTTCCTTGTTGGCCTGGTTTCACCATCTAAAAACACGCCTCAGTCTGGATACACAGTAGAACACAACACGATGAGAAAGTGAGAATGAACCTAGCAGCTTTTCCCCACAGGTGCCTGTAGACATTACATGACATAGTGGCCTACTGATCGGGTCATTTTCTTTTTTAATCAAGTAGTCTTTATTAAACAGATTTTGTCATTACAGGCACAACAAATAGTATAAATAGTAGCTACCCAAGTAAAACTGACAAAGAAAAACAAAGCCTTTGAATTGAAAAAGACTATACGAACAGGACGATCCTGAATTTTTCATCTGGACTTGAGTCTAAGGACTTTAGGTCAATAACAGACACCAACAGACAAGGCTTGTCTGGGAAGAAGTGACCAGCCATGTTTAAAACTTTTTTTTTTTTATTGTTATTGTATACCCTCTAATAAGCGAAAACCAAAAAATGTATTTCAGCACACCGTTATGCCCCTCTCCACAGGTGAAGTATGAATAGTCATGCAATAAAATGTTCAGATACCCAGTAGCTGGCAATAAGGTTTAAGAATGGGCCAACTGCGCTTCCACATCATCCTTCAATATCTACATAAGCCTTCCTAGTTTTATGTCTTTTTAGGCAAAAGTTGCTTTCCAACATATTTTGACAATACAAATATTTGCAAAACACATGAGAGCATAGACCTTTGTGGGCAGATTTTGCCCTTCATCTGGACAACCTACTACAGGTTAAAACACTCTAATATTCCAAGTTTACCATCGATATTACTATACCGAATCACCTTTGGAATTACTTTTGAAAGAAAATGTTCAATTCACAGAATATTTTCTTATGATTTTTTTAACAATATGCCACATTTTCATAATATATATAATAATAATATACAAATAAATAAAAGAGAAGCTAGAAAGCTAAAAAGAACCCAATCATTGACAAAAGTGCGTTTTAGGTTCTGTCCCTTTTGCCTGGTGAAAAATTTTAAATTTCTGTTCTATACGAAGAGGCTAATCTAGAGAGCAGGCAAAAAAAAAAAAAAAAAAAACACATTCAAATTAAGATAACTTCATCTTAATGTCTAGGACTGACCTTGCAGTTTTTGGTTTTCTTTTTCCATTCTGAGAAGCAGGATCTGTTGTAAGATGGCTTTTTTCCAAAGCTCTCGGAGTTCCTCTGGTGATCGGTGCCTGACTGTCGCTACTGCAACAAATGGGCCATTTTCACGAACAGGCTGCAGAGGAGATCTCGGTGGTATTTCTCCCCGTTCTGATCGTTCTACAGAGAAAAGAAAAATATTTAAAATATTTAAAAAAATAGCTACCCTTAAACATAACTTTTTATATGCACACAAATAAAACCAGGTAAACAAAACAGTAATGGTTTAGTTTAGGTAATAGAATCATATTTAACAGTTTAATTTAGAATTCCACAATCAGCATGTATACGGTCATTACAGGATTACATCATTGCACCATTTGCATCTGAATTAGTTTTGAACTGGACAGCAGATCTAATAGGTTTACCCATGGCTAAAAACAATAACACATCCAGAACCCAAGTTACATGACTTTCTGCTGTATGTGTTTGATAGTCAAGCAACAAATTTTTTTCAAATGAACCATTTTTTAATTTATTTATTACAGGTACTTATATAGCGCTGTCAATTTACGCAGCGCTTTACATATATATTGTGCATTCACATCAGTCCCTGCCCTCAAGAGCATACAATCTAAGGTCCCCAATTCACATATATACATACATACATACATACTAGGGTCAATTTGGAAAAGATCCAATTAATCTGGGAGGGAACTGGGAGTACCTGGAGGAAGCCCAAGCAAGTGCAGGGAGAACATGCAAACCCTAGGCAGGCAGTGCCATGGCAGGGATTAGAACGGATGACTCAAGTGCTGCTAGTGTGTGTGTGTGTGTATATATATGGGATCAGGCCTGAGCTGCCTTAGTATAGCCATAGTGGACTGCAGCTTGCATCTAGGGGCCAAGGCCAGCTATCACCACATGGCTGAAAAATATATTTGAAATATATTTTTAATATATAAACACACACACACATATACAGTCAGGTCCATAAATATTGGGACATCGAAACAATTCTAACATTTTTGGCTCTATACACCACCACAATGGATTTGAAATGAAACAAACAAAATGTGCTTTAACTGCAGACTGTCAGCTTTAATTTGAGGGTATTTACATCCAAATTAGGTGAACGGTGTAGGAATTACAACAGTTGCATATGTGCCTCCCAGTTGTTAAGGGACCAAAAGTAATGGGACAATTGGCTTCTCAGCTGTTCCATGGCCAGGTGTGTGTTATTCCCTCATTGTCCCAATTACAATGAGCAGATAAAAGGTCCAGAGTTCATTTCAAGTGTGCTTTTTGCATTTGGAATCTGTTGCTGTCAACTCTCAAGATGAGATCCAAAGAGCTGTCACTATCAGTGAAGCAAGCCATCATTAGGCTGAAAAAACAAAACAAACCCATCAGAGAGATAGCAAAAACATTAGGCGTGGCCAAAACAACTGTTTGGAACATTCTTAAAAAGAAGGAACACACCGGTGAGCTCAGCAACACCAAAAGACCCGGAAGACCACGGAAAACAACTGTGGTGGATGACCGAAGAATTCTTTCCCTGGTGAAGAAAACACCCTTCACAACAGTTGGACAGATCAAGAACACTCTCCAGGAGGTAGGTGTATGTGTGTCAAAGTCACCAATCAAGAGAAGACTTCACCAGAGTGAATACAGAGGGTTCACCACAAGATGGAAACCATTGGTGAGCCTCAAAAACAGGAAGGCCAGATTAGAGTTTGCAAACGATATCTAAAAAAGCCTTCACAGTTCTGGAACAACATCCTATGGACAGATGAGACCAAGATCAACTTGTACCAGAGTGATGGGTAGAGAAGAGTATGGAGAAAGAAAGGAACTGCTCATGATCCTAAGTATACCACCTCATCAGTGAAGCATGGTGGTGGTAGTGTCATGGCGTGGGCATGTATGGCTGCCAATGGAACTGGTTCTCTTGTATTTATTGATGATGTGACTGCTGACAAAAGCAGCAGGATGAATTCTGAAGTGTTTCAGGCAATATTATCTGCTCATATTCAGCCAAATGCTTCAGAACTCATTGGACGCCACTTCACAGTGCAGATGGACAATGACCCAAAGCATACTGCAAAAGCAACCAAAGAGTTTTTTAAGGGAAAGAAGTGGAATGTTCTGCAATGGCCAAGTCAATCACCTGACCTGAATCCGATTGAGCATGCATTTCACTTGCTGAAGCCAAAACTGAAGGGAAAATGCCCCAAGAACAAATAGGAACTGAAGACAGTTGCAGCAGAGGCCTGGCAGAGCATCACCAGGGATGAAACCCAGCGTCTGGTGATGTCTATGCGTTCCAGACTTCAGGCTGTAATTGACTGCAACGGATTTGCAACCAAGTATTAAAATGTGAAAGTTTGATTTATGATTATTATTCTGTCCCATTACTTTTGGTCCCTTAACAAGTGGGAGGGACATATGCAAACTGTTGTAATTCCTACACCGTTCACCTGATTTGGATGTAAATACCCTCAAATTAAAGCTACAGTCTGCAGTTAAAGCACATCTTGTTCGTTTCATTTCAAATCCATTGTGGTGGTGTATAGAACCAAAAATGTTAGAATTGTGTCGATGTCCCAATATTTATGGACCTGACTGTACATACACATACACACACTGTATGTTGAAATGTGTTTTTATTACAAAATATATGAAAAATATTTTAAAAATACATTTCAAATATACTGTATGGCTTTAAAAATACAAATCTACATTGCTGGAATGCATTCACAAATATATGTAAAAATGTTAAAATTACTTTTATATGTTAAAAAAAATCTGAATATATTAAAAAAAATATTTACATATATTTGTGAATGAATTCCAAAAATGTAGATTTGTATTTTTAAAGACATACAGTATATTTGGAATGTATTTTTAAAAATATTTTTCATTTATTTTGTAAAAAAAAAAAACGCATTTCAACATACAGTGTATAAATATATATATATATATATATATATATATATATATATATATATATATATATATATATATAATTTCAAATATATGTCAAAATATTTGGGAAGAATATTTTTAAAATATATTTAAAATATATTTTTCTTCCATATGGGTCACATCGCATATTAGTTATTAAAAAAAGAAAATAATAGTGGCCTAAGCATCACTTCAGTTGTTAAACATCTCTGTATTTAAAGACACAAGTGATGGGCAGCTCAGTGTATGTTGGCACTGTGGTCTTCTTGCTATGCTGTTGTATAGGCAGGCTTATCTTAAAAAGCAATGTTTGGGTACTGGTAGATCAAGCAGTATGAGGAAGCATCAGCTGACAAAAGACAAGGATGGGCAGGTGAGTCAATGTTCATTGTGTAGTTAACAAACAAACTATTTCTCAATCTGTGGAACACAACACTTGTTAATATTTAACAATGGTGCTACCATCTCTGGACAAGAAAGCAGCATACCTCAGAGGTCAAACTGCACAACAAACACCATTGGAGCTGTCTGACTTCAGTGGAAGAAAGTGCAAACATGCTGAGCACACACAATGGCTGAGAACTGTGAACATTGTATAAACAGAGGTGCGGCTGGTCTTCTTACTGGTTTTGATAGGACATGCTCAGTTATCTTATCTCAACTACACCATGATCTCTGTTAAGCTGCACACAGCTGCATTATGACACAACCCACCCATTAAAGTAGTATTCTTCTAATCAATCCTGACTGCTGCAATTCTGTAGGTTATATCATCTCAGGCAAACAAACCTACTGGCTCTAAAGCAGAGCCATACATGCATCAAAATGTGGCAGGTTCAGCGATTCATGAATGGGCAGACTGATTGTACCCAAGTTGATCCATCGAATGACTTGGGTACAACCAGCCTGTTGGATTGTTCTGCATGCGATTACTGTCTATGGCTAGCAGTAATCATTGTATTCTGCTGGTCGGGAAAGCTCCCCCCCACCACACTGCAGGCATAATACAATAGCACTGCAGAAGGCACACCCCCATCACAATGGACTGTGTTGGTGGAGGAATTTTCTTTTCTTCCACCCATGGTAGAAGGAATAAAAATCAATTAATCTAGGATTTGCTTTAGTTCATCTAATGTTCAGGCATTGTGGAAAGACCATGTAAGTTTATTGACAGCACTGCACATGCACAATTTTCCACCTCATTCTCTAGTGATCATTCCAGCTTAAGTATCAGAGAGGAAGAGCAGTAGGATTAAAGTGCTCACTCCCCTTCAGTCCTCACAGATATCCAGCTGACCATATTTCAGAGTGAAACATTAGCTGCAATAGAGCGGTCTTCTTCAGCCAACTAGAACAAAACCGAGAAAGATCCAGATGAGTTCCCATCCCAAAAATTCTTCCCTGCTTGACCAAGTGTATCCCGCCCCTCCGCACCAAAAAGACTTGCAGTAATCTGACCTGACAGAATGAGCATACTCTGTGGATCAATGAAAGAATGCTGCCATTTTAATTTGACAGCCAGGTTCAGCTTTGTGTTGAAGGAGCTCTGACAGCAGCTCCAGGATTTTCAAAACCTACAAACAGGGGATTCAGGCTTCATTCATTAACAATAGTGCAACAATATAATTTTGCTTAGTGTGGTTGGTTTGTTTACTGCAAATCATAGGCTTGTCTTTCCAACTGCACATAATGGTGGCTCCTGCAAACACATAAAAAAAACAAACGAATACACAAACACTAAAACAAACAAACAAATATATATATATATATATATATATATATATATATAATATACACATACACACACACACACACACACACACACACACACACACACACACACATATGAACTTCATTAACCTTTAATTAACTCAATGACTCCATTACCTCCTTTTACAGGTTTTGAAAGATATATTTTTAGATTACTTTATTGTGTTTTGTACCAAAAGCAGACAAGAAATTTTAGTGTTACGATGGGGTAGTGGTGGTGAATGAAAGTGTTACTAAACCCCCCTCATTAAAGTCTATCAATAAATGCTGTCTTACAGGCTGTTCATACTCTCACAGTCTCTATGGGATTCATTTTCTGTATTCTTTAAAAAAAAAAAAAAAAAAAAAACACCTGGTTAATCCTGCTGTTCTCTAGCTCCCCCTCCTGTG